GCGGAGGAGAAGGAGATGAGTCGGGAGAGTGTCATCCCACATTGTCTTCCTTGAAGACCTTTGTTGACTGTTTTCGAAAAAAATTGGAACATAAACATATTTGGGATCATGCCCTAAAGATGCATGTGATGCATTAGGAGTCTCGTTACAAACTTACCCGAATTGGGATTGTGAACCATACAGTGTATTTGGTTAGGGGTAATTGGAATTGGGGACGAGACATGGGTACATGACTTTAAATCCATCGTATGATTAGAGGACATGGGGGTTAACAAGAGATTAGGCACACCACTCTATTAATATATTAATAGTGGAGGGTAGGGATCATGAGGGAACTTTTTAGTGATTACATCTTAACCCTTCATCATAACTGGTCATGATCACTGGCTAAGCCCTGGTCAATTATCACTAACCAAACAAATGGAATAAATCTCAATCAAATTCACATAAGTGTCGGACAAAAGAGTGAGAATAAAATGACACATCCAATGTATAATCTCAGTACAATTCTCACCTACCAATAGTTGCAAAACATGTCGAGAGGAGATATCCCAAGATGGGAATTTCTGAAGAACGCCCTCACCCCTTGATGAGGGCCTAGGTAGTCGTTATTTTGAGGGCATATCGCTGCAAAAAAAATACAGGTGGATGTTGCGAGGATTCTCCAAAAAATATTTATTGTGAAATGGGTGTATCATGCTACGTGTAGGTTGAAATATAGAATTCGAGCTCAATTGAATGAAGGAGAAGGGAGAATGGCAACACACCCGGCTTGGAATAAACTATGAGCGGGATGTGTTCATTCCAAAATGCATTTTTGTAATTGAGGGTTTTACATGGAATAGTCCCTTGCTAGTGCACTCTCATGGATAGTCATATAAAGATTTCAATTTTATGCCCATTTATGCATAACTGGTCTTGAACCTAGAGGACTTTATGTCACATGTCTGTGATCGAAGCAAGAGAGATTTGGGAATTTCTCATCTGAGGGAATATGTGGATTCCGTGGTACCTTGGGAGAGATTAGGTACAACGATTATTGAGGAGCTCCTTTGCTACAATCTTCTAGGAGGAATGGTTCTACCTAGAGGGAACGATATAGAACTAGTCATGCTGACCTACTAGTTCACTTGGGTGGGAGTTGTGGAAGGTTCCCCACGATGAGTAAAATGCCCCCCTCCCCCGCGTGCGCGCGTAGAGGACTTGTCACTAATACCATGGTGCGGAAGGTGAAGGCTCCAACGAGGCAATAGAGGTGGGTTAGACCGGTGTTAACTTTGTATAAAGTTTAACATGGACGCAATCTTCCATGAGGACTTAGGTTTGGATTGATGAGAGCGACACTCTGCGGTTCAACACATGGCTTTCATAACAGTTTGATGCCTATTCAAGAAGTTCACCTTGGAAGCTTGTGTACTGCTCATGGGCTACAACTTGAGGAAGATTTAGGGGGTCTTGTCTATTGTGACCGAGTGAGACTTCATGTGCAACCCATTTTGAATTCATCAGAGCACCATGTCTCTTGGACGATGGTAACGGATGATTGCCAATAATGATGAGTATGCTCGGTAAATGATGATACTTCATCGTGTCCGAGAAACTAATGTAGTTGCGCACGAGGTTTCTCGATTTAGTTATGTAGAGAGTATTGCGGAGGCATGCCATGACCATCCTCCTTACTTCTTAGTCCCCACTTTTATCATAGACATGGTTTGAGTAAATTCGTTGACGGAGGGTTCCTTATTATTTTTAGAATTAATGCCCTTTATTACACAGTCCAGCTGGCGACTGAAATGTCGACAGTCGTGGGCGGCGAAAGAAGCACAAGCGACGGGTAGTTACATCATGAAGGTCATAATTTGCAGGCGCTTGCTATGTGAATGTTGAAGAGGTTCAGGTTTCCAACTAAAGATATATAGGGCTACATGATAGCCTATCGATTCCAAAACTTACGGTCAGACATATCGGGTACACTATTGCTAATGAGCCAATGCATGTCCCTCTTTCATCCCTCGCCACCTCTACAACAACACCATAGTCACCATTCTTCTTACATCAGCGTCAACACAAATCTTTATATGGCTCGATAACAAGTAGACCATCGTAAACCACCAGTTCCTTGTTGATGGTTCACTAGTCCTTACATGTGTTCCGTAATAGCAGGATCGCCGAGTGCCCACACACATTGAGATGTTGTGCAGTCAGTGTGTGTATGCAGTTGGAGCGGGTGGCCATAGAGGTTTTTACGCAACATGGGTGGTTGCATAATCTCCGAATCGGTCCACCTTCTTCGTCGACATAGGCATAGTTTCGGTCTCATAGGTCTTTACTGTTGCCACTTTGTCGTTTTTATATTCTTTGTCAGACTGTTCGTTTGATGGTTGTGTGCATCTTAACTATGCGGGTGTTTCTCTTTATGCTTTGTATCCGCTCGATGCTACTTTTCAAGTAAATAAAAGCGCCCTTTATCGAGGAATCATTGCTAGTGAGGGCTGAACCTGAACGGGCGTCGTGAAGTCAAGGTAGAGCTCAAGAGCTTGATGTAGCCTTTGGTGAGTGAGTGCATGCCTCTGTGAGTTAGTAGAGCCACATATGGAGAAGGTATTGTGCATGCTCCTATCTTGTATGCCACCATAAGTTGGAAGGGAGTGTCGGGCCAGCCTCCAAAGAAACACTTGAATTTTTGCAGGGACAAAATTCTCCCATTTAGGTGCTTTGTTGCGCCTCTTTCTTTAGTTCTGAGCATGATACATTGCTATATAGTCACACGTCATGATCTTGCTTGGTGGCCAAAATCATCTGACATTCAAATCGAAAAAACACCTTTGGCGGTGTAGAAAACCATCAGATCCCTCAGTAGGGGTCCTGGCGTAGCCAAAAGTCTCAGAGCGGAGGTCGCACTGGGAATTTACCCAAGTTCAGGCCTTCGAAGAGTAATACCCCACATCCTGCTCATGTTTGTTATTCATGGTGGAGGTATACCTTGTGTGAGGGGTTATAATGATTATAATAACGAGATTGCTACCAAGAGTTGTTTCTACGGGAGTAGATGGAAATGAGAGCTCCCTAGGTTGTGGAGAGATGCGGTGTAGGGTTTTACAGAGGGATAAATGCAATCTAGGGTTGCCGCCGCCACCGGCTTGGGGGTTAAGTTGGTCGCATGGTGCTTATCCTCTTCGTCGGGCCTCCCTTCATCGTTGGGCCTTGCGGGCCCTCTGGCAGGCCTTCTGTCGGGCTCCCCTCGGTCAGCCACCCCCATTAATTGTATGATACCGTCAACCTTTTTTCATGACTCCATGCCAAGAAATCCTCCCCTTCCAAGGAATTCATTTATGATTTCATGCTTTCGTCGGTTCCAAGGTTCATATTCCCTTTATCAAACCTTGTTTTAGTATATCAACTTCATCCATCATGACCCTCCAGGACTTCTTTTAAGTAAACCACATGTCATTCATTCATAAAAGAAGAGTACAAGACCCACCCGAAGCCATCATGTAGAGGCAACCAAACACAATAGGCTCAATAACTATGCCTCTCGCGGAAGTAAATCCGCGACTCTCGTGAAAAAAAGAGAAAACATGTTTTTTTTGTTTTCGAGGAGGCACGGCCATGCTTCTCACGAAAGCACAATCATACCAGCAAAATGTGACCCTCGTGAAAGAAAAAAAAACAAAAAATACGTTTTTTCTTTTCGTTTCCGAGAGACAAGGCCGTGACTCTCCCGAAAGCACAACTGTGCCTCTCACAGAAGCAAAACGGTGATTCTCGTGAAAGGAAAAAAAATAGAAAACACGTTTTTTCTTTCCGTTTCCGAGAGGCACGGCCGTGGCTCTCGCGAAAGCACAACCGTGCCCCCCGCGGAAGCAAAACCATGACTCTCATGAAAGAAAAAAAACGCATTTTTTTCGTTTCTGAGAGGCACAGCTCACGGAAGCACAATGGTGCCTCTCGCGGAAGCAAAACCGTGACTCTCGCCAAAGGAAAAAAACAGAAAACACGTTTTTTCCGTTTCTAAGAGGCACGGCCGTGACTCTCGCAAAAACAAAACCATGCCTTTCGTGAAAGCAAAACCGTGACTCTCGCGAAAGGAAAAAAAGAAAACACGTTTTTTCGTGATTTTTTTATTCAAAAGCTAAGGAAGACCGATGAAAAATCGAAACGTCGAAAAAACCCGGAAAAAAATCGTTTAAAAAGCCGAAAAAATCCGAAGAAAGCGCCTGAAGCGCGACACGTGGCAGACGGCTGAGAACGCGTAAGTGGCGCTGATCGTTGTGAGGCTCTGAAGGAGCACACGTTAACTAGAGATTTCGGTTATGCTGTCAAAAAAAAAAAAGAGTAGAGATTTCGGTTCGCTGGTCATCACATGTAAAAAGGGAAAACAGTTCCCATAGGCCGCCCGCCGCCGGCTCGGGCCCGGTGGTCTGGTCTTGGGCCGACACGCACGGGAGAGGAAGCCACGCTCCCCAAACCCTTTGCCCAGCCAGTTCCCATTAAAAAAAAGACCCAAACCCCACAAATCCATCCCGGCCGACCGCCGCCGCCGCCGTTGCCACCCCCACCGCCATGAATCCGGCATGCGCGGAGGCAGCAGCCGCCAAGAAGTCCCGGCACAAGGACAAGAAGGAGAAGAAAAACAAGCGCAAAGACACCGCGGAGCACCTCGGCGGCGAGCCCGCGACGGCCGACGAGGAAGCCGTCCACAAGAAGAAGAAGAAGAAGCACGCGAAGGAGGAGGAGGAGGCGGATTCGAAGGGGAAGCCGACGGTGAGCATCGCCGTCGCCGGTTCCGTCATCGACAACGCCCAGTCCCTCGAGCTCGCCACCCTCGTCAGTAACCCCGTCCCCTATCACCTTCATTGTACCTTGCATTTCTTACACTAGGGATGCTTATAGGAGCGCGCCTCTCCTGTTTCAGCTGGCCGGTCAGATAGCCCGCGCGGCGGCCGTATTCCGCATCGACGAGATCGTTGTCTTCGACAGCAGCCCACCTGCGGAGAACGGCGGCGGCGGTGCCGAAGACGAAGAGGAGAGCGGTGCGCGGTTCCTCGTTCGCATACTGGAGTATCTGGAGACGCCGCAGTACCTGCGCCGCCGTCTCTTCCCAATGCACAAGAACTTTAAATATGTGGTGAGAATTTCTTACGGTGGTGGTGGTTACCTGATAAGTGGGGATTTCTAGAGGTTGCTCATTTCGCTGTGCCGCTTCTGGTATGCAGGGGTTGCTTCCGCCTCTGGACGCGCCGCACCATGTGCGCAAGCATGAGTGGTCTGAATTTCGTGAAGGTGACATCTCTTTCTCTCTCTCTTGTGCTGCCATTGGTCTCGATTTCGGTTGCTGTGGTGTGTGGTCACAACATGAAATGGAGTTTCAGTTTATTCAGAGAGCATTTTGGTAGTAAAACATGAATTTGGCAATTTGTCGTGGCTCCTGCGATATATATGGCCAATTGACCACAACTAAGCATTTCATAAATTAGGGTGCAGCCATGTAAGTCTTGCACTTATCCTTTTTTTCATAACTTGGATAGCTTCATTCCAGTGTTCGATTGTTACTTATTGTATTTTGAACTCTATCAGTCATGTCATTGAGGGAATACTTTGTTTGGCTTTTGTTCTGGTATTTCTTAAGGGCTGCTTGAGCTGTCGATGGTACTCGGTAACATGGTTATGTATGTAGAATTATTTGCTTCAGCAAATGCTGCTTCTGTTATATATCTCTAACTTTTGTTAAGGATCAGCTATATCATATCGAATGATGTTCTATCACACCTTATGTTCCACATGTATGATTTGACATGATGCTTACAGTATACTGAACTTCGACAGGTGTAACATTGGGCGGGGATCGTTCAAAGGGTACACTTGTTGATGTTGGGTTAAGTCAGGTGTGTATGGTACTCTTATATGCTCATTTTGTTCTCCTGCACATGTTTGAGAAAACGCTTTTGTTGAAATTTAAATTATGATTTATGCTTGATGTATTCATGTAGAGAGTTAACCGATTTGTACCATTGTAGCAAACTATTAAATACCCCACTCTGTACAAGTTATTTGACGGAAACAATATATCTAACATTCATAAAGTTATGCCCATCCCTGAGTAATGCTTCATGCCAACAAGCAACCGGTCTGCGAGTGTGGCAAGCCTATTTCATTACAAGCAAGCACATTTAGTTTTTTTTTCTCAGGAGTCATTATTCTTTGTGTAATTATTAATGTTTCTGAATTAAGTTGCATTTACAAACGGCCAAACATGTAACAATAATTGATAGAAGCAGTGACGAATCCAATATTACGTATTGTGGCTGTTGAAACTAATATAAAATGGATCTATTGCGCTTACCTACAATGTGGTATTATCTATTTGGTTTGATTTATTATTTTAGGGGTTGAGATTATAAGAACACTTGTTCAATTCTAAACCATCATCTCTAGGAACTGTGTTATGTTTAAGACAAATTATACGTTTATAACAGCCGTCAACTTGTCCTCAAGCTATAGAAGAAGCTACTGCACCACCACTATGGGCAATGTTGTTTTACTTTGATTAATTATTGTTTTTAGATAACCTGCAAACAAGCGTTTCCAACTCTTTCATTAAAAGTAGAAGTAATTAGATACTCAAGACTTGGGCTGGGATCAAATATTATACAATGCACAACACATGCAACACGCACGCAGTTACACAGTAGCTACTTCTCATGGCAGTTCGTGCAACCTGTAATTGAAAACCTGCTGTCGTCGCTCCACCTCCGTCTTAATATCATTTGCCACAGACCAGAAGTCCTTGCTCACCCCCTGGAACACCCTGCTGCTATGCTCCTGCCGTGGACCAAACAGTGAGGGCAACCATGGAGCCAATATCCTCCTTTTGCGCTCAAGTCTGCTCTCCTTAGCCACCAATTCTATTGGGAGTCTATCGCAGTAGGGGTTCCAGAGTCGTAACCAACCCAACTTTAGAGTGAGAACCCAAAATTGTTCTTTGATAATTTACTGTGTTCTGACTGTTTACACACAATTTATTGTGTTTGACTGTTTTTAAATTAGAGTGTTCCTATAAAATTGTTTTTTCTATGAAATGTTGGAAAATGAAGATGTCATGGGTGGGTCAATGGACAATGCCCAATAACACAGGGCAGCACCAAGCTAGGAGTAGTCCCATGATCAAGGAGATAAGTATAACAGGTTATTTAGTTAGTAAGGATATCAATTTGGTTAGGCCAGTTATAAGCTTAAATACAAAGATAATGATATGGGTCATTAGAAAAGTTTGGATTATGTTGTTTGGTGTCAAATCAAGTCTTCCTTGTAAAAGGGACACCATGTACGGATTTACCCCATATGGATTATCCCCCTCTCTTCGTGGCCCATGGCAGACCCATGATAGAACATGTGATTCTGTTGCTTCATGTACTAAACAAAATGTCTGCATGTCTTCCTTTGGACGACCCTTGATTGATTATTAACATATTAGACAAAATGCCAGAATGCATACCGTCCCATCCACAGTTCTACACCTAAATTGCCTCTAGACAAATATCTGACCATCTTGATCTAATGGATTTGAAATTAATTCTAGTTATCACAATTCTGCAGAACGTTCTGGTTGAGCAAATCCTAGAACAAGGAAAAAGGGTAACTGTAGCCATGGGAACCAACAGAGACCTTACACCAGGTAAATGGCCGTTTCATTACTCCAGGCAATACACATGGTTATGTTGATGTTCTGTGTAAAATTTTGGTAATACTTGTAGAATTGAGGAATCTTTTATGTAATATAGATATCGTGTTTAAGTACCATTAGTATTGGTTCACACTTTGTACAAATTTTCCATACATTAATTTTCAGCTCACCACATGTTCTTATTGCACCCACTTGGGCCAGTCACATTCCAATTTACATATATATTGGAGAGCCACAGCCATTTCAGTTTTCAGTGGCCAAATATATTTAATCTAGACTCCATTTTATTATAACTGTGGTCTACCTGTGGTGTACATCTCTTTGTTCTCATCTAGTTCTGTTTTGAGTAAATTGAACTGTACTTGTGTCGTTTTTTCCATTTGATTGTAACTTTTGTATGTACGTCTAGCTTGTATAAGGAAAGTCGTTCCTCCGTCCTCACCCAGCGAAGAAATGGGATCATATTGGGGCTATAAAGTCCGCTATGCTTCAAATTTAAGTGGTGTTATCAATGATTCACCATACAAGGTACTGCCTGTAAGGCTGTTATAATGCAAATGCAGAATTTATTTTGCCAGCACTTACTATTTTCACCACTTCTAGGAAGGATATGATCATATCATTGGCACTTCTGAGCATGGTGAAACCATTATTTCATCTGAGCTAATCTTACCTTCATTCAGGTATGTGGACCACCTTCTTGAGAATTAAAAAAAAAACAGATTTGGTTACCTGAATGTGTAAATTTCTTCTTCCTAGATGATATGGTGTTAGGATTTATGAACTTATTATTTGCCAATTCATTAGAATTTTGAGGTATAACTGGAGCAGACATAAACTATAACAGTTCAACAAATAAAATGGTGCACAATTTCATTTTTTGTTTTGTTTTAATTGGATAATCTGGAAGAAGTTGCTCAAAAACGCCAGTTTGCTGAACATGTTGCACCTCTTTTGTACCTGAAGTCATAACTCCCATTTGTAATCACCTCACAATGGCTGGATTCTTTTTAGCACAGCAACAACAAACATTATTATTTTTTGGCTTGATCAGTTCATAAGCAGACAAAACATTTTGTCCAAGGCAATGATGATTGATGAACATTCACTTGGAATAATGAACTAATACGTGTTAGTAAAACCCTTTTATATTGATTCCTGGTTTGTATCCAGGCTTTGTTAAACTGGCGGTTACTGGCCTGTAAACCAAACCACGTCATCCTCTTCGATTTTTTAGAGAGGGTCTTGTTCACTATCTAAGCACTCCTAAACTGCACAGGTATATAAATAATTGTTTCTGTGATGGATGAGGATTTGGAGCACTCGGGTGCTCCACCCCCTATATGAATATTAAATTAAAAAAAACCCAGGAAAATATAAAGAATCTAGAATTTTGGGATATCAAACCTGGGTGCCCAATCTACTCCCTTGTGAAGTTTCGTGAAGAAATGACATCCGTGGTAGTCTCAGTAAAAAAGTCAAAAAATTCCTATGTATAGATAAAACTGTTTGGATGGATCGTAGGTCGGACTGTATTTTCTTCGCCACGGATACCATGTATGCCATATCTTAATGAAACCACGGAAGTAGAATGGGCACCCAGGTTTTATATGCACCCGAGAGCTCCTATGTATTTACCTTTCTGTGATATGTTAATTCTGAAACAATCAAAACTCAGAAGCTTCAAACCCCGAACTGGTTGTAGCCTAGTTAGCATGAACTTACCAGGTTCCGATTTTTTCTCTTCTGGTTCCCATGATCTGAAACCCTGGTTGTACTCACGTGGTTTCCACTTTACATCTATGAAGTCTCTATTGCGGGAGTATGTGCTGTTAGTAATGTGCTCTTCACTGCACAGGCACCTTTTAATTGCGTTTGGTGGACTGGCTGGTCTGGAAGAAAGCATCGAAGAGGACCCAAATCTGAATGTATGGTTGCATTGTACTATTTAATCTGATATTTACTTTTGTCCAGTCTAGAACCTTGACAATAAGATGCTTATGTCCAAACATTGGTCTATGTCCAGGAAGGGACATTCTCTGTGTGTCTAGCGTGCCTCCATTCACGCTACTTTCTGTAAAATGTGTTTAATAGTAATAAAATCTTTATGTTAAAAAAAACTGATATTTACTTTTGTCGTCACGAATGTCTCACTATATAGTCCAATCATATTGCGCAACCTGATCACTTGTATGATAGCGAGGAAGTATGACAGATGTATTTTTTTTGATGATTGAATAAAAATACGAAAAAGTTATCTCTGTTGGATGATAATGTGATCTGATTCGTCATCAATTAGTGTCTTTACTACAGTTGTTCTTAGTATTAAAGTGAGATATTCCTCCGAACAGGGCAAAGGTGCAAATGATGTATTCGCATCTTATTTTAATACATGCCCCAACCAAGGTAGCAGAACAATAAGGACAGAGGTATGTGTCACTTGAGAGCTTGTAAGGTTATTCTTTATGCAGGATATTTGTTGTGCTGAGAGTAAACAAGCATTTTTCAGGAGGCACTTCTCATATCCCTTCAGTACTTCCAAGACCCCATCAGGCGAGCAGGGATATCGAATTAGAAGGTTTTATGCAGACACATGCAAATACAACATTGCGCTTACCAAAGGATTGGCTTTAACGCTTGGAATAGACATGGAAGATGCACCTTGGGTTTGTTTTTGATGGTCAATCGCTGGATTGTAGCACCTACGGGTTTTCTGCTCGGGTCAAGCACTGTAAAGCAAAGAGGAGGTGCAAGAATAGGTGATAGCTTTAACTTCTATTTTGAAACAGGCAAGGCACACATTTTCATTATTAAGAAGAGAATTTGCCTGGTTAATTAGAGGAAAACTGGGCAAAAGCCAAGATAGCTTGAACATTGATGCTAGCATTGGTAGAGTTTTCTTAAGGGGGCATTGATAGAGTTGAGAAGAAGATCAGTGCCACACAAAAGAGTGTTTAGAGAGGGAGCATAATTATCGTCGGTGATTTGTTTTCTTTGCTCCAAATTGGCTGAAATGAGTGTTCTGTTTTATTTGCTCCAAGTTGTCTTATCTGTGGTGTATCGCCTATTTATTCACACCTGGCAACTTCGTACCACTGTATCAAGCTTCAGTTTACTGTATTTGGCTGACTTAATTAATGATTTAGAAGGTTGCTATCAAAACATTGGTTGCAAGAATGGCAAGCAACATTGCTCTGACTTGCGGTGTTCATTTCTAACCATGGTCCTCTAGAGCCGAACTTGAATTTGAATTTCGTTACATTTTTATGCCAAATCGGGGTTTTGTGAGGCAAAATTGAAAGAAATATGACTAAATTTAATTTGTACTTTATTTCTATAATCTATGCAGGTATTGAATTTAACTGTTTTTTTAAGGCGAGATTCAAGTTATCCAAAGCAAAAAATAAGATAAATTTTATTTCTTTGCATTCAGTTACATGATCAATCCGACCTGGCCACGTGTTTTTTCTTAAAAAATACTCCCTCCGTTTCAAATTACTTGTCGCAAAAATGGATGTATTTAGAACTAAAATACATCTAGATACATCCATACCTACGACAAGTAATTCGGAACGGAGGGAGTATGAGATTCTGAGCCAACTTTTGGGATTGGTCGGTAAAAGAAACAGAAACACATAAGAATGGGAATTCACCAGATTAGGGTTACTAGAGCTGACAGTTCCATAGAATATGTATGACACACATACGTGTACACAGTTCCAGATTAGGGTCTTTGAGCCTGCACTTTGTGTGGTTGCAATACCAAATTGTCAGTTTAACCACCTTTGTTTACTCCCAAGAGAAATGGAACCAAGACCACCTTTCTCTACTCCACATAAAATTGGAATAAGACCACCTTTGGCGATATAACAAGTGACTCGTAATATAAGACCCTTTCTTTAACACAGTATACACGCAGACACTCATACATGAGCACAGACCTCATCCCTATGAACACACGCACACACATTCTACCCATATGAGCACCTCCGAGAGACTGAGTCGACACATCATCTTAACATTAACGAAGTCGTCACAGACGCCTTATTAGTCGACGGTAACATCTCCTCTCACTGAACGCACATCGTCAGAAAGTCTGAAATAAATCTAGTAAAATGCAAGCACCAATGTCAAGTTTAGTGCTTAAACCCCGGTGAGCCGAGGTACCACTGTCCTTCTAACCATCGAATCACAAGTTGGTTCACTAAGACCATTCTTCTTGCACAGCGGGCTTTCAATGCATAAAAACCGCCCTGCAATGCACCACCATCACGCGTGTCACAGCACACCGGCTAAAATTACACATGAACCTAGCGTGACATAAACCGAAATGTGGTTGGTTTATCATGCTTGATCTAGAGTATATTTGCCCGCAGCACTCCGTCGTTGAAGAACCTTGTCAACCGATGTTTAGAGAAAACACCGCAACCAATCTTGCGCACCGTGATCAATGTACTCGCCACACCATAGAGCACCCCATCAAACTCAACCCTGGAAGGAGGCAGTTTTTACAGTACCCTGGTACTCCCTCGGGTAGAGATGGAGTACCACTCAAATCTGACCGTCCACCTACAGAGGTAGCTTAGTCTTCTTTCTCGTGGACTTATTTGATCCTGATCAAATTACTAAACAGTAAAACTGAGCTACCCACGCCCTCCCACAACGATTTGACATCCTCCACCATCTGATCAGCCTAATAGACGCTTCAGATCTGGCGTTCGTTTCATCCCTCGCACCTGCCCATTTTTCGTTCGATCACCCAGCGTGACCTGGCCACCGTAAACGGGCTGCTGCTCCGCTGGCTGACCTAGACTTTCTGTCATTAATTGGGCTAAGAGGTTGAGAGAAATAGATTAGGCCCAGGAAAATGAGGGTAAACAACAGGCCCGTTCCGTGCATACCTAGGCATCCTCTCAAGAGTTACTCAAAATATTTTAACAGGCACGAAAGGCCCTCTGCTGCCAACAAGAACAAATATGGAGAGATCGGGTCCCCTTGTCTGATATCTCTTGATGGAATAAATTGTTGTAGCTTCTTCCCATTAAACAACACAGAGAACTTGACTATGGTGCCTGTTAAAATCTAAAAGTGAGTCATCCAATTTGGGTGGACTACAGGTAGCTCCTACGCGCGGCGCCACCGGTAAGCCATCTTCTATTCGCTGATGACAGCCTGCTGTTCTTCAAAGCTAACAATGTGGGAGCAACTGAGGTGCACCATGTACTGGACACTTATCGTCAAGCGACTGGGCAGCGTATCAACTACTCCAAATCATCAATCTATTTCAGTAAGGGGGTGCCTGAGTCGGTCAGACAGGAGATCAAAGATACACTTCACGTCCCCAACGAAACACTAAACGAGAAGTACTTGGGGATGCCGTCAGACATAGGAAGCTCAAAGAACGGGGCCTTCAAATATCTCAAGGACTAAGGATGGTAATTTTTGAAGGAAATATGCCCTAGAGGCAATAATAAAGTTATTATTTATTTCCTTATATCATGATAAATGTTTATTATTCATGCTAGAATTGTATTAACCGGAAACATAATACCTGTGTGAATACATAGACAAACATAGTGTCACTAGTATGCCTCTACTTGACTAGCTCGGTGATCAAAGATGGTTAAGTTTCCTAACCATAGACATGAGTTGTCATTTGATTAACGGGATCACATTATTAGGAGAATGATGTGATTGACTTGACCCATTCTGTTAGCTTAGCACTTGATCGTTTAGTTTGTTGCTATTGCTTTCTTCATGACTTATACATGTTCCTATGACTATGAGATTATGCAACTCCCATTTATCGGAGGAACACTTTGTGTGCCACCAAACGTCACAACGTAACTGGGTGATTATAAAGGTGCTCTACAGGTGTCTCCGAAGGTACTTGTTGGGTTGGCGTATTTCGAGATTAGGATTTGTCACTCCGATTGTTGGAGAGGTATCTCTGAGCCCACTCGGTAATGCACATCACTATAAGCCTTGCAAGCATTGCAACTAATGAGTTAGTTGCGGGATGATGTATTACAGAACAAGTAAAGAGACTTGCCGGTAACGAGATTGAACTAGGTATTGAGATACCGAGGATCGAATCTTGAGCAAGTAACATACCGATGACAAAGGGAACAACATATGTTGTTATGCGGTCTGACTGATAAAGATCTTCGTAGAATATGTAGGAGCCAATATGGGCATCCAGGTCCCGCTATTGGTTATCTACCAGAGAGGTGTCTCGGTCATGTCTACATAGTTCTCGAACCCGTAGGGTCCGCACGCTTAACGTTCGTTGATGATATAGTACTATGAGTTATGTATGTTGGTGACCGAATGTTGTTCGGGGTTCAGGATAAGATCACGGACATGACGAGGAACTCCCGAATGGTCCAGAGATAAAGATTGATATATGGGATAATAGTGTTTGGACTCCGGAAGGGTTTCAGAATTCACTGGAAGGGGTTCCGGATGTTTCCCGAAATGTTTGGGTATGAGAACACTTTATTTGGGCCAAAGGGGAAAGCCCACAAGGTTTTTGGAAAGCGCAAAAGGAAGTTTTGCGGAGTCCAGGGGCCAGACGCCAGGGTCCCTGGCGTCTGGGTCCAGATGCTGGGAACCCTGGCGTCTGGCCGTGGAGTCCGAGAAGGACTCTTGCCTTTCGTGTGAAACCGACTTTGTGGAGGATTTTACTCCAAGTTTCAACCCCAAGGCTCAACATATAAATAGAGGGGTAGGGCTAGCACCCAAGACACATCAAGAAATACCAAGCCGTGTGCCGGCAACCCCGTCCCCTCTAGTTTATCCTCTGTCATAGTTTTCGTAGTGCTTAGGCGAAGCCCTGCGGAGATTGTTCTTCACCAACATCGTCACCACGCCGTCGTGCTGCCGGAACTCATCTACTACTTCGACCCTCTTGCTGGATCGAGAAGGCGAGGACGTCACCGAGCCGAACGTGTGCAGAACTCGGAGGTGCCGTGCTTTCGGTACTTGGATCGGTCGGATCGCGAAGATGTACGACTACATCAACCGCGTTGATATAACGCTTCTGCGAACGGTCTATGAGGGTATGTAGACAACACTCTCCCCTCTCGTTGCTATGCATCACCATGATCCTGCGTGTGCGTAGGAATTTTTTTGAAATTACTACGTTCCCCAACAGTGGTATCAGAGCCAGGTTTTATGCGTAGATGTCATATGCACGAGTAGAACACAAGTGAGTTGTGAGCGATATAAGTCATACTGCTTACTAGCATGTCATACTTTGGTTTGGCGGTATTGTTGGATGAAGCGGCCCGGACCGACATTACGCGTACACTTACGCGAGACTGGTTCTACCGACGTGCTTTGCACACAGGTGGCTGGCGGGTGTCAGTTTCTCCAACTTTAGTTGAACCGAGTGTGGCTGCCCGGTCCTTGCGAAGGTTAAAACAACACCAACTTGACGAACTATCGTTGTGGTTTTGATGCGTAGGTAAGAACGGTTCTTGCTAA